CCTGCGCTTGTTGTTGCCGCTGCTGTTGCTGCTGGCGCAGTTCCTGCAGCTGCCGGTGCGGATGTATATGGGGCTGATGCTGCTGTGGCCCTACATTTGGGTGGTAAAGTACGCTCATTGGCACGAAATAAGTTGAGCTTGTGCTATACGATTGCCCGTTACTACGCGCTGCCATTGTGGCTGGGGTATCTCCTGGGAAAACGTGTGGCGCTGTACGACCAGGACCATGCTGTGTGGATGGTGAATAGACTTGTGGAAAGTAAATGTGCGAAAATGTTTGAGGCGCTGCAAAATTTACGCCCAAACCAGCGTTAGACATGTCATCGAATTTACGCGCCTCTGGCGTGCGCTGCTGATACTGTTGTTCACCGTTTTGTGAGTTCATCATGGCGGCGTCCGCAGAGTTGGCACTTCTGCTCGTCAACTCATGGCTATCCTGTGAATTGTAGCCAGGATCGTAGAGTAGGCGTGTTGACTGCATAAACGCATTGGTCTCATGATTGTCTGGTACATTATTGAGTTGGTAGCCGGGTGAGACAAAGCTCTCGCCAAACTGCAGTTGGCGCTTGCTAACATTGGAGGCGTGCGTAATGGTGGATTCACTGGCACATTGAAGGCTGCGCCACAGCAGCATGAGCAGGAGTAGAGGTGATTCCGGTAGATGCATTTTCATTGGCTCTCAGCGGCGCTGATAGCTGGTGCTAAGGTAGATGAGTACTCTCAGCTGATTGAAGAAACGCGGCGTAGTGTTTCTAAAACATTTTTTACAAAGTCAAGCTGGTGTTGCCAGAATAAAAGAGAACTTTCAGTTAGTCATACGAAATCTGCGTTACATATTAACACTATGTAAAGACTGCCTGAAATCTAAATTCGTCTACAATATAGGTCATTAGCATCAAACAAGAAGGAAATAGCTGAGTGGTTGAAGTAGATCATACGAAATCTCTGCAATTTGGGGGCAGCAAAAAGAACTAGGCGACCAGACGACTACGCACAACTTAACAGTTTTAGCAAGCGCTAATAGCACGTGTCCTAAGGCAAGACCCCTAAAATGAATGACTAAACAGCAAAATAGCTAAGCTTGGTTTACCATCTAAATCAGTTACGACCACAAAGCAAACATATTCTCTCGATCTTATATGAAGACTAAATCTCTCGGTCGCTATAGAAATTCACGGTATAAAAGTTCTGGTGGCTCTCTTCACTTCCATTCTATCTTCCTCTGCCTCAAATCTTTTTTCTTCACATCCCTTTCTCTTACTTTCCACTATTTAATCTCATCTGCTCTCATTCATCTACTCATCTATGACCGATCTGAGCTGTGTAATTTTTCTTAAGCTTTCAGGGTCCGTAAAAAAAATCGGTGCTATTAGCCACTAAATAGGTGACTATGAGCAAAGCCCAGTCTAATCGCCATTGGACTAGATTAGTGATGTTCAGAGAGAGCTTTTACTCTGTGCTCGTCCATATAAAATCTACAGAGAGCTTTGAAGAGTGCCGCCAGCGGGCGCTGTTTTGATCATCTCTGGACAAGATGGTCTTTCAGATCAGTAACGCCCAAGGAGTGGCACGGATGCAGAGCTTCAGTTTGAGCAAAAGTTATCTCTGGTCTTATTTAATGGTACATTAATGGAACCTCGAGGGTGTTCTTGAATGCTAAACTTCAACTCCCCATTTAGCATAAGCACAGCTAATCTACCTTGCCAATCAGACTATTTCCACTCCATCTAAACGTCAGCTAGCGCGTGAATGAGTTAGCAATCGAATTTTATGCTTACCCTAAACTTTTGTTAGTCCTGGTAGTTCACAGTGCAATTTCTTCCAAATTTAACAAATTGGCTTTTGCGACCTTCCAATGCGGGCGACAAACTTTAACTATACGTCTACTCGCCTACGCAGTCAGTTTTTATTGGAAAAAATGTCACATACCATATTTAATAAATAATTACAGCGCCGCGGTAATATGAGCCTGCGAAAAGCGGCTTGAGCCGCCTTCGTAATAGTGCAGTACTCTAGCGTTATTAGATATCGGTTTATTTGAACTTAGACTGTCGCCGCGGTCTCAACAATGCATCTCATCCACATGCTGGCTCGCAGCTGTAGGCGACTGGATCCATTACAGTTCCGGTGGAAGTGTAATTCTATCGTAGACTGCGAAAGCAATGCATGTGATGTAATGAAAAGCCGCATTGTGCTACGAGTAAAAAGATAGCGTGTGCAAAAATGTTGGTATGACAATGCATTGTTAACATTTCATGGTCATGGCTAAGTGACGCAATGTAATCGATATCATTCGAAAAGGCGACATGCTTAAGCACGTATGTATGTATGCAAAGCAACTCTTTTGTCGTTTTTCACTTGCGCTTGATCGAAAGTTACGCCTCTTCTATGGAATCCATACAGCATCTCATTATTTACGGTTTTCCGGAAATTGTGTACTTCAAAGGAAAAGGCGACACACCTTCGTCCACTCAAATTTCGCCAAACGGAAGTAGTAGCGTCTCATCCGAGTGGATCTACAATCTTGACCGAGAAGAGATATGATATAACTTGTAGACAGTATGCCTACTCGATGAGTTGATTAGAGCCACGAATTTTTCTTCAGTCGATTTGGATTCCAACGGCGCTGAGTTTACCTTTAGAACTAAAATGCTTGGAAAAGGAAATCCGGTTGGGCAAAATTACTTACTTAATTTGGGAACAGAAGAGACTTCATGTGACGACTAGGTCACGCAAAGAGTTGCACTTTGAACTTTATGTATGTTTAATAGGCGACACTTGTATTCATTTTCTTTTAGCTCCGCAGTTGCAGGAGTCCCAAAGTACTTGTTTGAGAAAAGTTTCATTTACATGTTGGATCTTTTCACAGCCCTTGACGATCCAAAACCTGCTGACGTTTTTGGGTTTACAGAGGTTAATTTCAGCCTACTTCTTTTAACCCAAGAGCATTGAAAATCTTTGGAGTTGTGCAAGTCAGCGAGCTTCTTTATTTACACTTTCACTTAAGTAAAGTTCTTGATGTGTTTTAGAATGAATGTCCGCTATCCCTTGTCAAATTTCGTTTGGAGACCAATCTATTCCGGCGTAGTGCCATCTTCAGTATAATTTTTTGTTCTGACCAACTCTCTCGGAAACAACAACTACCAAAAGTCGTTGACTTTTATCGAACTCCATTAACGGCACATGTCTACAATTCTGCTTGGGTTTGGACCGCTGTTGATAGCTTCTTTCCGCGCACATCTAACCCATCTTTAGCTTTGAAGGCCTCTAACTTAATTAAATATCAATATACAGCACAAGAGTTTCGAAATTTTCAACGACTGTTGATTTTGGTGAACTTTCACAAACCTGAGTATCGCCGAAAAGTCAGGCAAGGTATATATTTCTCACTGCAAAACGACTTCACAAGGAACAACCTAACTATAGTGGACCTATTGTTCCCTAAGAAAATGTTACCTTGAGACATGTCTTCTCCCGCATTTTTCGGTTATATTTTCCGAAAGGTTGAAGATACAAACAAATAACTTCGGTATGCAATTGCAGTAGCCCAGCGTTTTAATGGTTCCAAACCATCTCTATTTAACGGGCAAAAGTAGCTACACCTTTTTCTTTTGTTTTGTCATTTTGTGAGATCGCGGCTAACCGGATGCTAGTTACAAAGAACCGCAATCAGCTGCGGTGGCTATGCCGTTTTCGTCGTACGCTTTTAGCTTTAAGTTTCCTTTGAAGCTTCTTGCTATGTGACTGACCCAATGAAGATGGCTTTAAACAAGCAACACTCAAATACCTATGACTAAATACTCTAGAATAGGCATTGTGTCACTACCACATCTCCCATAAAGTTGGTGCGTTTGATATCGAAGGAAGTTGAAGCAGAAGATAAGAGGTCACACCTAAGTCAGTCAGTCAGATGCGAATTTTTTGTTTCAAGAAATTACATAATAATAATAATAATAATAATAATAATAATAATAATAATAATAAT